GTCTATGTGAGTCAGTCCGTTCATCAGACTTTCGTTGCATATATGCTCATCCTACATTGGTTGATCCTTGGTTCTGCCCATACTCATTGGAGTATGTAACACCCTTCCTTGTCCTTTGTTGTGTCCCATCCTGCCTGATGCAAGTGCATAACATATCGCTCCTCGGCTTGGATCAGTCCCATAGCCCTCAGCGGAGCTACGACATCATTGCAGGCTTTATTTACATCCAGCCTGCTAGGCAGTCCGCCGGGCACTGGGGAGTTCTTCGAGTTACAGAGAAGGGCTGGAACACGGTCCAGTTCACTAAGTCGTATCCTAGCATGCCCATCAACTTTGGGCAGATCGAAGTCATCACAAGAACAGACATCATGCTGCTGTTTTGCAAAGTGCTTCTGATTGTGCCGGATGTCAGCGATAGTCGGAGCCTTATTCCAGACTATTCTGACCCGCTGCTGCAGGATACTACTCAGCTTCTCGTGCTCGATCTTCTGTCCCACCCAGTCACACAGTGATTTTTTCACTTTCGATTTATTTATAGATGGGTTGTATGGGATCTTTGCAGTCAACCAGATTCTTGGGTTGATTCTAAATTTTTTCTTCATGGTTCTAGTGAGGATTCCGCGTGTGATTTGTCGGTCCCTATGAGAGGTTAGGGATTTAACTGCCATTTTCATGTCAACCAGCTCATCAAGTGATTTTTTCATCAGTTCACGTCTCTTCCATGGTGCACGAAGTAATGCAATTACCTCAGCTTTCGTCCTTTCCTGCTTACCCTTCGTTCGTTCGATGTCCCTTAATAACCAGTTACCTCCTTCTTGTATTAATTCTTTCGCGTCCTTTAGTAGCATTCTCTTGCCATCTTTCTCGATGATACTAAAACCAAAAACCAATTTTATTAATCTCCAGGCCTTCAGCCAAACACCACCTTGGTTGTTTTCAATTCTAACCTGCTTTTTTTTGTCTTTGCGCAGTTTCCTGATGAGCTTAAGGAGGTCTGGTTCATTTTTGATGCCTTCAGAGTCACAGCTGAAGATCAGGGGTTCAATCTGGTTCTTAATCTTGTTCATTTGTATGACAGGACCTCGCATTCTAGTTCTGGATCTTCTGGGTCTCCGTTCTTTCTTGGCTCTCCCGTTCAGTCCTGGGTTGAGATTCTTAATGATCTCCTTTCCATTGCCCGGATTTCAGCTTCCCCACCTCCGAACCATGTCGGGATGGCAATGTACTTCGAATCACCAAATTTTCTCAGCCAGTTGTGAATTTTCTGCTTGCTTTTTCCATTGCTTGCATATTTTGTGTTCCTTCCATCTTGAGTCCCTTCTGGTCATCCCTACGTAGGTTAGCTTACAAAAGGGGGAGATAATCACATAAACACAGCAAGAGGCAGAACCGTTAGCAAGCATATCTAACTCGTGTTCCTGCATACGTTCCCAGAATTTACAGAATGGTCCTCCCCACTTATTTTCATTTTTGACAGCAAAAAAGGACAATAAGCCGTAGGACACGCTCGGCCAGCTGACTGCCAATAACCTTCTCATCACGGAGTCTTTGTACTCGAGTGAACAGACGCAGAAACGATCGTAGAGACCGATTCTCTAGTTTCCCTTGATCCTTGTCATCTGAGACCCCGCTCTCTTTCGGAATGGCTACCTTTGCCCCGTTCTCACACATCATGTACTCCTCAACATCAATCCGCGCCACTTCCATCACCCCTAGTTCCTTCCTAGTGTATTCAATGTTCCTCTCTTTACATAGAGCCATGATACACGTGTAGTGCATCGAGCTGTAGTTCTCCACCCGATTTTTCATATAACCCATCAGCCCGAGCTCATCATTATCCTCAGCCAGGGTCTCACCGCCTTCCTCCTTTTCGGTCTCCGTTTGGTCTTCGCCTTGTCGACTGCATTCTCCCCTTTCTTTCCGCCTGTTTATCCCTGGTGCTGGTTCCGCCGGAGATGTAGCCACCTTGGTTTGCCCCAGCGTCGTGACAAGCTGTTTCAGGAAATCTTTAATCTCGATCATGTCCCCGGTTTCCTTCCCTTTCCCTTTTCCTTTCGCCTCCTCAAACTTCTTCGTCAGATTCCCTCTCCCTTTCCTAACTAATTCAGCACCATCGTCTTCTTCTTCATCGGAGGAGATAAGCACCCGTTTCCCTTGGGCCTTCTTAATCCTTCCAGCTGACTTCAGACGAACACGGTCCATTCTAGGAGACTTGGTAGGTGTAGTCGGTGGTCTCTTCCGCTTCTCATTACTCGACCCTTCCTTCAGTTCTTGCAACTCTTTCTCGGCTCGAAGACGCTTCAATTCCTCTTTCTCCCCATCCGTGAGTTTAGTCTTTCGATCCACTTCATCAAGCTTCTCCGTGAGCAGCTTCAGAGAGCTTCCGAAGTTCTTGGTCATCCAGTTCTTCATCTCTTCCTCCCTATCTTCGGCTTTCTTCTTCCCGATCTCAACGATCTTCAGCGAAGGCTCGGGAATCGGTGCGATGCTCGGCTTGTTTCCTGATTGTTGCTTGGCAGCTTCCTGGACCGCCTCCTTGAACTTCAGTTTTTCGAGAAATTCTGCTTGGTCTTTCGTAAAGAACGCGCGATTTGGGTTCCCGCCTCGCCAATTTCCGAACCCGCTGCCGTACCCGTTTCCATATCCGTTCCCGTAGCCTCCATTCCCGTAAGCACCTCCATACTGCCCATTGGCCACGGGGAATTGCCCTGGAGGAGGCATCTGTCCCCAGTATGGCGCGCCAAAGTTCGGGAACGGCGGGTATGGTTGATAGAAGGGAGGTGGAGGTGGTGGAGGATTAGGATTCTGGGGTGGGTTCGGTGGATAACCATTCCTACCAGTGGCGGGTTGGTCCATCCAATAACGTCCGCACCCCGACCAGCCTCCTCTTCCCCTTCCCCTTCCTCTGCCTCTCCCGTTCATAAACCCCGACATACCCTTTGAGCCGAATCACGTCGTCACGGAATGCCACGCCGCTGCTATCGTCACTTAGGATCCAGCCGATCCGGAGAGGATGCCTGCTCGCCACCAGCCGTTCCTCCTAGTAGCACCAGGCGACTATGGATGAAGCATTCTCCGATGCTGAGGCTGGGGTCCAGCGAGCACTGCCCTCAAGCAGAACCATGCCGCCAAGGAACGCAATGCCACTGTTATCGACACCTAGGTCCAATCTGGTAACGGCGGTCCTCCGACAATGATTGATGAAGCGTACTCTCGATGCTGGCTTCGACGGTTGATAAAAACTCCGCCGCATAGCCAGGAAAGCGGATAAGTAAATAAATAAATGGAGGTGAGCTCGCGAGGTAGTGAGATGGGGGTCAGGAGTAGGAAAGCATAGAATTATCGTGGTATAATAGAGGTGCGTGTGAAGAACTCACGGCGCCGATCGATCGTTCCCAAGCGGGTGCAAAGTCGATCGAGTCGGTTGTTCGTGCAATTTAACACAGAATTTTCATGACAATGAGGGCTTTACTCTCATAGTACCATCATCATGAACTCACCATCGCCAGAAAAAATAGCRATCTCCACCCTTCTGCCCTTGTACTACTCAGGTTGAGAAGTGYTCTCGCACTCGTTCAATATACACTACTTTCGCTGCAAGACTCCCGCCTACCTCTGCTGCAATTTCCAAATAATTACGATAAAATATTGAAAAGTCAGAAAAAGCATGAAAAGGCAAAAAGCAAAAAAGGCAAAAAAAAAGCAAAAAAGGTAATCCTCGAAAAAATATGCCGACAATTTGCCCAGCGCAGGCCTCGGGGGTTCCGCCGCCGGAAGTATTACTGAGTCGATCTTTACCCGTGACGCGGCTCCAGAAGTTACCGCTAGCATGACCAGTCCTGTATCCCAATGTCGAGGCTGGCGAATCGTCAGTAGACGTTGAGCCTAGCCGGGTGATCAGGTCAGGTCCASTTCTCAGCTCAGGGTCCAGTTCCCRCTCAGATCTGATCTCAGTCCTCGYCATACCATTKCTTCAGTTTACTGGCCAGTTCTCCCCAGTAGCCGCCGGATCTCTTTCCGACTTTCACCACCCCTGCGATAAAAGCCTCCTTGGGGTACCCGAGAGTCCTGAGTTCCCTGCTTACGGAGATCAGCCCCAGCCAGGCTGCCCACTTTGAATTTGTGTCCTTCCCTTGTTCTTGAGAGTCAGACTGGTAGACACACCAGCATTCAGCTATCAAATGGATCTGTTGGAACTAAAAGAGATCGGGTCTTCCTCCTCGGAAAGTACAAGGAGGAGCGGTGGAAGCAGGGGGCTGGAACCAAGGGAAAACATGGAAGCAGCAGTAACGAATTTCCTCATTTTAAAGGGCGGCGACCTTGAGATATCATTGTGAAACTGATCGGCCCCAGGTAATTCAGGCAGTTCGTTCATTTAGTTCCATCTAGATTCGAACACAGCTCTGTATTTCAACAGTTTGTGGGTGTACCAACTGAGCTAGGCATGTTGGGTACTTCCTCAGCAAGGAATATAATAAATATCAAGAACAAAGAGCAAACAGTGAAGACTTCTGACTTACCATAAAGGGAAGGAGCATGCGTGTGTACTCTTTGTAATTCTCTTGACTTGCCGGTGGAATAGGAACCGGACGAACGCTCCCCAGAATAGATATGGAGCCAGGCCCACAAGGAGCTGTTTTTGCGTGAAAAAAAAAAAAGGAAGCAGTGAAGACGTTTACAGAAGAATGGCTGACGCAGGGGAACATAGCCGGAATCACGGGCGGGAGCCTGAAATTTGCAAATAGGTGTCAAGATGCCCAGCTATGTGGATGAAGAACAGTACGCGCATGGAAAGGACTGAAAAGAGACACCACAGCAGGCTCAGTGAAAGGAGACGACATGAATCACCAACGGAGATCTGCCAAGGCTATCCTAAAACTTAGACACTTTTTTGTCTGATTGACAAATAGTGAATCGAGAGGGAAACCCTTGATGAATTCTGGTTTTTGTTCTAAGGGAATATACGGCGCATATGGGAAGGAGCCTGGTCAACGAGTATAAGCTTGACAGAGTCAATGGAAAACGGGAAAGAATCTAGGCGCATAACACGGGAAGATACACAGTCATTACGGTAGCGAGCTTCTGAGGCGTTCGAAGACAAGTACATAGCGGGCTGGCTAGGGGGAAAGAAGAGTCACAACTTTCAGCGACCCGTCAGAACAAGAACGAATCTAGGGGCATAACACAGGAGAAGATACACAGTCATATGAGGGCCAAAGGGAGCAATCAATGATGTCTGGGACCCCCAGACCGAGTGTGGGAAAGTCTCGAGAGTGGGTATATTATGTATTTTACTAGTTTTCCATGACTTGCCTGGCGAATAGGAACCAGACTGATGCCCCCCAGAATGGATACGGAGGCGGGCCCATCAGGACCTGTTCTCTTCTTTTTGCAAAAAAAAAAAAAAGAGGACATTGCTCAGAGCCTCGTCTTTTCATTGCATAAGGTCACCCAATAAGAGTTGAAAACCCCCACCACGTCCATCTCTCATTGCATAAGGGCACCTAAAGACAGTTGCTAAAAAGTCCCACACCAAGTCCAGTCTTTTTCTCTCGTTCTCCCTCCCCCTCCCCCCCCCCCCCCCCTCGACGCCCTGCCCTCCCACCCAACCAAAAACAGGGCCTTGAACACTAGACATGCACAGAGGTAGAGTATCAAGCCATGATCAGTCGGTCCGAACCTCATCTAGGATGCGGAAGGGCGTCCAGTGACACTTGCTGGAAAACCCAAACAAATCCAGTCTTTCTCCATCATTCCCCGCMCCCCCCCCCCCCCCCCCCCCCCCCACCGCCGTTGCCCTTCCTTTCCCCCCAACCAGAAACAGGAGCTTGAAAACTATACAAGTACAGGGGCAGAGTATCGAGCCATGAGTAGCCACCTCAATGACACATACATACCTTTTGTAATCTGATGGTGCAAGGTGACACAATGAGCAGCAATGATGACGTAGATGACAGTGCAGATATTCAATGTTTCGACTATCTTTGGCAGACACGAACCTGCCCATTGAAGAGCGACATACACATCCAACATGCAAAAGAAAGGATGTAGTCAAAATGTATTAACGACAATGCATCTGAAAACAGCCCATGGAAGAGCTAGCTCCACTGCGGCAAAGGTTGATGTAAGTTGACCATTGCTCTCTTCTACTACATATCCATGTTTGTCCTAGATTTCCCTGAACCTTTTTCATAGTTCTCAGATTTTTCTTAGCCGAAGCCAGGTAATGGCCCTGGTATTTCAAATCATTTGTATAATTCTATATGGGATGCTGGGCCCGGTTCCCAGCACGTGTTGCTCCCCACGAATAGACTGGAGCATTTGCCCCAAAAACAAAAACAAAAAAAATTGGCACCAGCATTGTCTATCCCACCTAACAACATAACCAGAATCCCTAACACACTCCACAATATCAGGTAGATGCACATTCGCACAGCAAAATGAGTTGCACCCACACATAGCTCAGGAGGTGCCACCATGCAACCATTTCCTCCAGCGGACTCGCTGTAGAATGACACATATGACAGTGCAGGAAAATACCAGGACTCATTTTGCAAAACTCGGCGAGAAATCCGATCACTCTTTTCTTTGCCGCGCCGCCCAGCACAACACACAATTGCTTGCACCTCAAGTATGAGATCAAACCCGCCGTCCACAAGTGCTGGGTTCGAGTCCCTCCACACTGCCCACAGCATAAGTGTGCTGAAAGTCAGCAAGTTCCACCTTTCTCACTTTTGAAATCTCTTCTGGTTTCTTTCTACTCGTACAAAGACAATACAAGAAATCACCATTGAAATTGTGCTCGCAACTGCGTTTTCGAGCCCCTCACTCTCATTGATCAGCACATAAAGGCGATACCGTGACAGTGATTCAGTGAAGTGTACTGAGTAGCACACAGAAGGCCCCACCTTCCAACAACGGGTCTTCTTGAAGACGAATGCGCACCTCCTCAATATAAATAAAAATCTCATGATGAAATGTCCGCCAAACACGCAGCAATTGACAGTCACTTGATGACGGCGGAAGCTTATACCCAAGCTGAACAAGAAGAACCGAGGAAAATAAAATATAAAATAAAATTAAAATCAATCTGAGGTGATTAAGCAATTGTCATCAAGAGCCTTCAAAAAAACATACGAGTCTCCCTTCTCTCTCTCTCTCTCTCTCTCTCTCTCTCTCTCTCACACACACACACACACACACACACACACACACACACACACACCAAAGACAGAAACAGTATTACAAAAAAGGGCATTCAATCGCCTTTTATTACGAAGGAAAACCACACCAAGTGGATAGAGATAGGATAATCCATTCCCCTTCAGCCACCAGTCCATCTGAAGTTAAACGGAACCACAAAATGTATTTCGCCAAGCCTAAAAATGACCGGCACCGTACATTGGAATAATCAAAACTCTACCGGCACCAGCCACTGTATTTTTTAGAAGTGGGCCTCCCACAAACATTTTGGGGTCCGAAGTTACCGTTCATCCATTGGTCTACTGGGTACCACTCAATTATCTGCTTCTAATACACGTAATTGACCCAATTCCAGATCATCCTCTGGAACCATATAACTATCAAAAGTAAGGATTGTTCATCAGAAGTATTACAATCTGAATACTCATACGTCCAATACCATTGACGCCCAATCACTTTGATAGTAGTTGCAGGATTTGCTACCTCATCCATGGAATGCAACAAGAGCAAATGATGCTATTGCAATGAACATTCGTCTAATACTAGGAAAAATAGTCCAAATGATTCAGCCCACGGGCGGCAGTTGTGTGCGAAAATGGATGAACAGTGACTTGAAGCGCCGAAATCTAGAGGGCCGAGGCCCGGTAGAGGTTGGGCGGGAAAGGGCTACCACCGTACCACGGTATTTTTCCAAAGGCCTGCACTATAGATCGTAGGCTCAGCGAAATGCATTCTTTCATTCGTCAACTTAGCTTCGGATGGACTGCTGGTTTAAGCATGCACAAAAGTCAAGGACGCATAGATCACATTCGTACCTTTGGAAGAAATTGTTGCAGAGTGGTAGTGCAGAATACAGTGCAGAATAGTGAGCTGACATCAACAGGGTTCGGCAACTTCAGCGAACTTTCACCCTTGCCAATGACATGCATGGCATCACACAATGCCAAAATCTCAGACAGGAAGCCAACACCTGTTGCCTGCACCAACACCAATGCAACAATCTGCAATGAACCTCACAAGATTCAACTCAAAAGTACAACATGCAAATTGAAAAACACTCAGATGAAGCTCACACAAGCTTGAGCGATGTCCATGAACAGCGCAAATTCGAAGTTCCACTCAATTACAATAATGTACAATTGAAAACCTTCGGGACTGAGCGGTTTGAACCGCTACAACATGACTCCGGTAAGTACCCAACTTCGCCTCCCTTCCACTCTCTCTCTCTCTCTCTCTCTCTCTCTCTCTCTCTCTCTCTCTCTCTCTCTCTCTCTCTCTCTCTCTCTCTCTCTNTGTGTGTGTGTGTGTGTGTGTGTGTGTGTGTGTGTGTGTGTGTGTGTGTGTGTGTGTTCCTCCTCCCTCGATGTCCTAGATCTACCCTGAATGCCTCTGCGGTGTGCCATGCTGATCTCAGGTGGCTATGAGCGCCATTGGCTTCCTCTGTCTCGCCTGACTATGGTCCCCTGCAGCAGCGAGGGATCTTGCATGCCTTAAGTTCACCAGGTTCAGCATCGTCTCCCCTACCAAAAAGGCTCAGCGAGGTTGGTCGCTTCAGGAGGGTTTCGTTATTGAGAGACATTTTATAGACCGGGCCCCTGGGAGTCTTGCTATAGGGTTCTATCTCAATTTGTTGCTTAATCTCCCTCTACCACTCCAGTTGGGGCTTCTCCGACATCAGCAAACCCTTGCAGCAGGTTCTTTACCTGGGGTGGTATACAGCAAACATATAGTTGGGACTCTAGACCGGACTCATGGAACAGCCTCATCTTCTTCTTGCCCCCGGTGGGGCTGGGCAGCCAGCACTCACGCTCGCCCATCTTGACATCTGTCATGGCTGCTTCTCCCCAGTCGGTCCCTAAAATCAGGTCAAAGGGAAGGTTGCCTTCCATTAAGAGGGTGATGGAATGCAAAACCTGCTCTACCTTTTCCCCCTCCTCTAACCGGAAGTATGCCTTGATCCCCTCAACGTATTCCTCCACACGCATGTCACGATTATCGGCCAGTCTACTCACTACCAGCTCACTCAACTTCTGCACCTCCATCCCTAAGTGCAACTTCATCAGTCATGTTCTACTAATAAAACTACACGTAGACAAGCAATCTCTGGAAGGCTATCTAGGTGGGGGCCTACATCAGTCTCCACCGTTGGGGTCCTCGGGTTGGAGGTTTCTCCTTCTGAGATGTGTCACACGAAGCCCCAGGAGGAGCAGCTGCCTCTCCTACCGGTTTTGGCCTTTTGGCGGTGACCTCAACTCAACGACCGGAGGGCAAAGCACCAGGGGATTATATGGCCTGCCTCTCCACATTTAATGCAGGTCCCTTCATTGAGCCTCTGGAGCCAGAGCTCATAGGACATGTTCAATTCCTCCCATGGTTCCCCCTCTGCACGCCCCCAATGACCCTACCGCCTAAATTGCCAGTGTTGCCAAGGGTGTAATTGCCTCTACCCCGGCCTTGCTGTTGGGGGGCCTGGCGGGTGCTAGCATGTGGGGGTCCATTACTTCTACCTCCCTCTATGCAGCCTCCATTGCTGCACTATCCCTGATAGCCTCGTCACCCCAACCACGACCTCGTCTACCTCGGCCGCGTTTTCATCCTCGTCCTTCCCCGAGGACTACAGCAGCAAAGTCACCTCCCTGGACCCCACTACTCTCCTCACCTAACACATACTCTATCTGGTCATAAGTCAAGGCCTCACAACCTCCATCAAACCCTGGCCTCAATATTCCTTGAAATGGTAGTCTTTCCAACACTTTCCCTTCTCCAAGTCCTTGTACCAATGACAGTTTCCTTCTTGGAGAAATCCAGCTTGGTCCACCGCAGGAAAAAAGCAAAATTTTGTGCTACTGTTTATAAAACTTTCTATTGTCTAGCTAATGAGAACTTGTCTATGAATGTAACTACGCATTTTGTTAACGCGATTGAAAATGTCAAACCTATTTTAAAAGTAAGAAAAGTCAGAATCTCCGGAACCACCCAATTACTCTCATCCATTATACCAAAGAGTTGTCAAGAAACCTTAGCTCTTCAGTGGATTCTTGAAGGCACCTTGTGGAGACGATGTTTGACCAAAAAAACATAAGTTTAGATCAATCTTTATCTGCTGAAATATAGGATGTCTTTATCTGCTGAAATATAGGATGCTTCGAAAAAACAGGAATTTGCTAGGGAAAAAAAAATGATCTTCATAAATTACCTGAATTAAATCGTAGCTCTTCTCATTATCATTGGTGGTAAGAATGTTGATTCTCACTTCAACTGACTTAATTCCTAATGGAACAGCAGCACGAGCTACATTCTCACCAGTAGCTTGAGCAGCATAATTGGTTGAATGACGAGATCCTTTAAATCTCACTAAACCAAAAGAGGACCAAGATTTGGTATCTCCAAAAGGATCTGTTATGGTAATTATAGTGTTACTTCAAGTTGATTGAATATAAGCATGCCATCCTCTTTAACCTTAGCATAGAGGTCGCTCTTGATGGAATCAGGGACAAGTCTAGCAAATGTTAAAAATCTGCTCGAGGGTCGGTCTGCAATCAGACTCGTCTTTCCCAACTTTCAGCATGCGTACAAACAGATGACGGTCAATCTGGCGCCTTGCGCCCACACAAAGCTCAGAGATAATGAAGCCAAGAACACAGCTCTAATTCAAACTTGTCTTTGTCGGCTATGGCCGACACCTGTACTCTCAGCAACTTGCTCGTACTCACACCCTCGATTTCCTTGGATGCCCCGCACACACACACACACCAACACTACTAATCGCTGACGTGGCGGCTATGGCCGTCGTCTCTCTCCTCCTACTAACACACTATCGGCTATGGCCGATCTTCCTCCTCTTAGCCCTCTTCTTCCTCGGGCACCTGCAGACCTTCGTACACAAGACGATCCGACAACGCTTCCGCACGGCTCACAGCCAGAATGATGAATGACTGATCGTTGCCTCTTTATTTATACTTTGGATTGTCGATGGCCTGCCTCTCTCCACCGGGCCCGACGTGCACACAGTCCCACATGGTACTTGCTGACTTGACAAGGTGCGACTGGGACTGGGTACCGCTGACTGAGCAAGGTAAGACTGCCCACTTGACCAATTGCCTATGGAATGCCTACTATGACTCACGAATGGCCAGTTCCAGACCTTCCGGAAGACTGTAGACTTGGCCCTTCAGTACTATAGCAGCTACGTTTTGACCTTTCAATGTAGTGGCTACGACTCCTACTACTGCCAAGACCTCTAACCTTTAGACCTACGGTTCAAGACCCGACGACCGCCCTACCTATGGCAGACAATCAGGCAACTTTCGAGACACAGGTCGCGGGTTCAAACACACACGGGTCGACTGCTACTGTACACGGGTAAGGGCGAGGACTGGGGATCGAGCTCTGGGAACTGCAACCTGCTACCATAGAGGTGAAAACCGTTTCACAGTCCATGATCAGCGGTCTATAACAGCTCATCCATCGTGACCTTCCAAGCCCAACACACTCTTCCACTTCCTATCATGGATGTTGTTAAGCTTATCAGTCATCCTCATGGCTTTAGTCTTGTCCTCGAATTGGCTCCGTAAAGCATCTAAAAAGGTCTTAAGTGTCGTTCTCTGCAAATATGCTACCATATTGCGACCGCAGCCTGCCTCATTGGCTAGCGAGAGTGCATAGTCTGCAGCAGCGCCTCTTAGTCACGAATGAGCCATCAAAACTTTGTCTCCCTCCCTCTCGGATGCATGGCGCGTACACATACGACTGGACTATCGATTCCCACCGATCAAAATTCTCCCCTCACTTCCCCGAATACATATTAAGGAGCTTCACCTTGATCTTCTCCCTCTTAATTTGGGTTCCCCCTACTCCGCTAGCAGGGTCTCCTCCTCCAATGGCCTTTCCAATTCCACTCAAAGCCCTTCCTCGGCGATGGTACACACTATCTTCTTTGCAAGCAATTGTTATAGCTGGACTGCATAGGAGGTCATTGATCTTATTGCAGGTGGCCACAGCGAAATGCTTTCACCTGACCTTCTTATCCTCCTGCACCGCATCCATCCTCTCAACGGTCCTACGAAGCGCAGCGGTCTCTCGTGGGGAGTGGAGCACGGCGTCTATGAGGAGGGTGTCTTTTGTCCATGTCTTCTGGCTGTTCTTTTTGTGCTTCCAGCCTCCTTCTCAACGCTTCTCCCTCCTCCTTCAGCCTCTTCTTCTCTCCGAACTCCCTCCGTTTTTTGTGCAGCCAGCCTCAGTCTGATATGTGCCTCTCTCTCTTGTATCGTTATCACCCTTTCCTCGCCATCTTCAACCTGCTGCGGCTGCGCTTCAAACGCCTCAATCTCCTCCTTTGTCTCATCTTCAGGCCACGATATTTCAAAATCAAAATGATCGGCCCAAGCTCCAGCATCCTCCTGGTCAAACTGCAGGGGTGAATCATAACTGCAACCCACTTCTCCTTCCTTGGGGAGCACGTACTCTATCATGCCTTCCTCCCCCGTCTGCATGTGCAACTCTAGTTTCTCCTCTTATGCCTCTATTTCCCCCCCCCCCTCCAGCTGCTTCGCCATATCTTCCTCTAACTTCCTCTTTTCTTCCTCCATTTTCTTCTTCAACTCTTCCTCCTTTTTCTTTGTTTTCTCCTCCTCCTCTTTCATCTGCCAGTCTATCTCCACCTGTTCTTTCGGCGTGTACAGCATAGTAACTCTGCCGGACTTGGTGACCACGGTCTTCCTAGCAGTCCAGTGGAAACCCAGCGGAAAAATGAATTGCAAAAGGGGCCGCGATATAACGGACAGAAAAAGGAGAGCGAACATCGGGTAGTCATCCATGGCGAGATATCAGTACAACGGTAAGTACGCTCCACCTCACCATGTAGACCTCACCCTCAACTCACAAATCTCAACACTTATCCTCACCTGATTCGGGATCTGCCTCTACTTTACAGGGTTATGTCTACAATGACTGACCTGCAGCAGCCATCACCAAGAAA